GGACGTGGGAGCGTCCACTAAAAACACATTTGACAATTGCAGTTGCCAGCTAATTAATCCCTGTTGATGTATCCCTCATTTTCATTCAATCAATGAACATTGATCATATCTGCAGTGGCAGGCCGTGCTTCTATTAACGTCGTCTTTAATCTCTGACCTTTTCTCCGCAGCATTGCCTGTTTCTGTCTGTGTGTGGTGGAGTGGCAGCCATAATCTTTTTCATTATTTGCTACGAAAGTCACCAAAGAACAAAACGGGTAGGATATGTATCTGCTGGGTGCTCACATTGTTGAACCGTGTTGTTACTAGGCATAGATCTCTGGTGTTGACCTTTCTCTTTTTGGAGCAGATGTGGAACCCATGCTAGATGTGTTGTGGCCAAACGCAAAGGAAATCCTCTGCTCTGCCGTTAGTCGATGCACACGTTTCATTGCTCTTGGGCTCGGCGATGCTTTAGTGTGTGTGTGGGACAGGCAGTCTGGTGAGCAAACCTTATGGAGAAGTATTCCAAAAATATGATCCTATCCAAGACATTCAATTAGAGCAATTGTGTTTATTTGGTTTCTCCTTAAAGGTGGGGCAGGTAATTCACTTCAGAAACACTTTTTGTTATATTCCATGGAATGCTCTTAACATCCCGATAGCAATGAATACATTAAATGCTTTGACAATAAATGCATAAAAAAGTGGAAGCCGTAGCGCTGTAAAAAGCACGACCAATCATCTGAGCCGGCCCGGCTAAAGTAACTGGATGGCCTACCTGCCTGTCAGCCTTCCATCTCGTGCACACTTATCTCGTGCCCTCATTGGTCATGTGCGCGTTCGTGTGTGTTGGAGGAGGGGCTCTGTAAGGAAGTCTGAAGGAAGGGGCAGATTATTTTCGGCTGCGTACTTTCAAATTCTAGCGCACTCGAGCTGGTTTCTCCATTCTTACCTACCCTACCTTTAATGAAAATGTCATGTAAAAAAAACATTTGTTCCTATAGTATCCACATGTAGTTTTATTTTAATATGTCTACCTTAACATGAATCAGTGTATGCTATCAAGCTCCTCGTATCAGTTATCTTTCGTGAGTTATTTTAGGATTTCCCCAGAAGAAACTTCACTGAAAAGCAATAATGAGGCTGAATCAGTTTGTGGAATGATGCAGCAACAGACACTTTTGCCTCCTAGGTTTGCAATAAAGCTATGGCTTGTTTCATTCTCATTTTCTTCTTCCCCCCCCCTCAGGGTCTCCTTTGTCTGTTGTCCCAGTGTCAGCAACAGACAGTGCTTTCTCCAGGATGCAGTTTGTGGATTTCCGGCCTGAGTCTGCTGATGATTCCCAAACTGCTGCAACAGTCTGTCTTTTAGTGTTGTGTAAAAGTGGAACGATTCATACAGTCACTTCAGGACGAGGGGCTCAATCCTGCACAGCGCAGCTCAATGAAAGGTTACCTATATGTTTTACACATTTCCATATCATGTATTTATTTTTCCTGTCAGATACAATGCAATCAAACAAAAGATGACCTCACTCATAACGTCCTCTGTCGCTACAGGCCAAAAGACAGCGGAGACATCCCAACTGTCATTGCATCAGTGCCGTTCCTGCAGAGTATGGTAGAAACAATAAAGTTATTCATAAAAAAGTTAAGCTCAAATGCAGAGGGAATATCTATAGTACCAAAAGTATAACAATATTTGATTCTCTGGATCCTGCTGTCTTATTTTTTTTGCCTCGACCAGATGCTTGTGGTGCAAAGAAATGGAAACATGTTCCTCCAAGATGTCCTCAACAAAACCAAAGTGTGCTTCTTAAATCCTCCCAAGACTTTTCAGATTTCCACTCCCTGCAGTCCTGTTTATGCTCTGAACACTAAACAGCAGACTCTGGTCATACAAGGTAAACCAACAGTCAAATGTTTATTTATTTTTGCATTGAACGTTCTTTATTAATCCCCAGAGGAAAATACATGTTCATTATAGCCATCATAAGTAAGTACAGACTGAGCTACTGTCCCAAATGAAATCTGAACTGCTGTCACTAAAGGCCTTCATGTCTTCCACAGGGGAGCAGGAGTCCAGCTGCAGCACAGGGAGACAGAGCCAGCTGTTCAGATTCACTTTGGGAGAGCCTGGCATCATGGAGCAGTATATCATTTCACATCCAGACTCTCAAAGACAACAAAACACACTGGAGGAAGCCTGCAATATCTACCTCCGGCAAAGGTTGCTTTCTTTGTGTCTAGCAACCATAATCTATGTGGTGTCCAATCGTTTTTGGAACATATATTCCCACAAATCCAAACAACAGGGCACAAACTATCCATAGTGTACTGTTAAAGTAGTGTCTAATCATGTGTTCCCTATGTTTTCATGTGAAGAGCGCTGTCTGTGGATGAAAGGAACAAAGCTATAGCCCACACATGGAAGCAGCTGCAGGACACAGCAGAGCTGGAGCAACAGAGACACAGCCGAGCTGCAGCCAGCTGAGGGGCAGCAGCACATCTTGTTTTGCTCCGAGGTACTTTTGTATCTTTGTATTTCTGCATGTTCTTTGTATTCCATTGAAGAGCTCCTTCTGAATGCACCCTGCAAGAATGTTCATTAGAGACTGTTATCTCACAGGTCCAAATGATATTTCCAATATAACCGTATCTCCGGTTTTATGCAAGAACTACCAAACATATTTGAGGCACTGACCCTTAATCAGTTTAACTGTACAACAAGGACATTGACATTTTTTTATTAAGTTTAATTAGTTGTTATATCTGTGGTGCTGGAAGGCCTTCTCTGATATTTTACGTAAAAGGATGAGTGTATTTGGAGTGATTATGTCCCCTTTGGGTCCTTGAATGTCTCATAGGCCAAGTTTTATTTAATGACAGGACACAAAAAACTAAACAGGGGGCAAGAAGTATTGAAGTGCATTTGGAATGTTATAGTCTGTCCCCGAACAGTCTGTGAAAATAAGTTTGAGTTTAGGAAGCAGAAAACCATAGAGTAACAGCTAAATGGGTGAAAATATGTGAGAGGGATTCACAGAGTCAGAAGATCAAAACAAATCAGAGAGGATATTGTTCTTCTGAAACCAATCAGCAATACGCAGCTGTTGAATTATTCATGATTTTCTCTCTTTATTAGTTCAGATTGGCAGCAGATCAATCATTTGAATCCTTGAGCTACAATGGACAGGTGGTGTTCATTTGACAGAGAGATTCTTCGGACGACATCTCCCTTATCGTTTGCATACAAACACACTCTCCATTGTTGCATCGTTTGTACTGCATCTTCAGCGTATCAGATCGGACTGTGGCGTCTCTGTGTGAAAAGGAACTGCTGCGGAAAACAGATTTTAATATGTGCTCAAAAGCCTCATTATACATGAAATAGAATAATGTACTGAGTGTGACGGCAAAGGGCCCAAATATCATTGATAGCGTAATAAAAGTGCAGGTGCTCTATTCAAGATATCCACATTTGTACCAGGGGAAAAACAATTAGACAGTATAACAATGCAGCAATAGCCTCTTAACGAAACAGAGACTTAACTGTCATTGCTGTCTTTTTGCTGTTGGTTTGGTGCTTTTAGTCATTTCCTTGTGACATTGATGCTTTATCAACATTTACTGTTATGCAAACAAATAAAAAACAAACTGCTGTTGTCATTCCCAGCTCCCAATCCCCTCTGTTTTGCCTTCCCTAGAAACGTCCAATTAACTGCAGCGATGGCCTCTTTAGGCATTTGCTCTCATTAGTACAAAAGTAAAACAAAACAGAATTGATAACAATAAACAAAGAATCCCATATCAGATAATTGTCTTCCTCTGAAGCTAAATGTCAAACTGTTGAACTTATTTTATTTCCTAAAGATTATTAAATGTTGAAACAATTAAATTAAGTTGATAAAACCAGCTGTGTAGTTGCAATTACAATTTTTGATGTCTACGGTCATGTTTTAAATATGGATTTATTTTCGGATCCTGGTGGCAAACAATTTGTATGTATGCATGAGCTCAATTTCACATTCAGGTAGTAAAATATGAACTATATACAGTAGGCATCAATTTAAAGAATGCATGTTTTCTTATCACCATTTAAAATTCGAATTGCTTGCGGACATAGCAGAAGGTGACCTAGAAAATCTTCCACATAAAGCCTGGAAGGCTCAAATACTGTAAACCCTGTGCCCAGATTAAAAACTGTTTATCATTAAATATTTCCTAAGACATGAAAGATGATGCAATTCCCAGTTATTCAGAGTTCACTTTTGAGTATATTATATTTTCCTTAATAAATATTGTTTTAAAGAAAATACATTTATTTTTTGTACACTATCATGACATGATGTGCCGATCCGTCACTGCACCAGAACCTTCTTTCCCAACCCATTCTTCATTATTAATATAAACAACTGTATTTTTGATTCCAAAGAGCATAGCAAGGAAGATATGAAATTATCTGTTAACTCTTCCAATATCAATTTGTCACACTCAGAGGGTATAAATGGCCTTTTCATCTGGACGCTATGACTCAGCACTGATTAGCGGTAGCATCCACTCCGGGCTCGTCGGGCTACACATCACTGCAGACATGAGGACGTGTCTGAATGGCATCGCCGTGCAACAGGGATTTGCGTGCTTATAATTTAAGATGAGATTTGTTTATCTCTCCCCACACAGCTTGTTTTCATTTACCCTCTGAAAAATGCTTTCAACAGCAACAGATTCAAACATTTCAAATCTTAGTGAATACATTTAATTCAAAAATAACCACAAGTTACAATGAACAGAGCAATAAACATTCTTTGTAACGAAGCTTGTGATGTCAGTCTGTTGTGATTGAAGCTTACCTTCTGCAAGAAAGTCAAACTATGCTTCCCGACCAATTGCAGTCGTGAATTTTGTGATTTATACAGAAGTATTTGACGATTGGTAAAGTAAATCAACATGCCACATCAATAAATACAGGAACCCCACACATCAGACGGTCAAACACAAAATACATTGAAATAAATAGAAGTATTATGAAATTGTCAGGGAGCCTCCTACAGTAAATTCCCCTCATTTGATGCTCTCGGGCTGGACTGGTTTGGATCTCGCTCTGTGTCATTGTCTGGGGTTAATATGCTGATGGTTGTATCTGCTTTAGTTTGGTCGTCATCACACAGCATGAACCTCTCCTGGCTCACAGGGCTCCCGTCTCTCTTTAGCGGCAGAGAGTTGGCGGCGCAGGTGAAAGACAGGACTGTGGGGTTGTCCTGATTGGACGCTGCGTTGGCTTTGCAGTAAAACCTCCGCAGCCCCTTTCGGAAGTGAATGGTGAACAGGCCGTAGATGAGAGGATCCAGGCAGGCGTTGAAGAGCCCGAAGATGAACAGGATGTGGGTCAGGGAGTGGGAGATCTTCCCCTCCAGGTCGTTGGGGAAGAACCAGTACCACAGGCCCAGCAGGTAGTATGGAGTCCAGCAGATAATGAAAGATGAGACGATCACTATACTTAACTTTAGAGTCCTCATCCGCGCTCTGGGGATGTTATTCTTTGAACACCGCAAGCGCACTTCATTGGAGGGAACTGAGAGAAGAACACGAAAAACATTATTTCACATTAGTCACTCAGGAGCAAAGTAGTGAACCGAGGGACTGGCATTAAGAGCATGGAACATCCTTCTTAAACAACATGTGCCTCTAAGTAATCCTAAAAATACACAATTTGTACTCATCTTGGTGAGAATTTCCTCAATAACTTTATTGAATGAAAGCTGTAACCAGTGCCACGTCCTTCGTGTGAAAGAGTTATCCTGATTAGACTGATGACTATTTGTCGATGGGTCTGGATTTTTTTGTCCTTCTTAAACTGGTTTTAAATGAATCTGTAACTCTCTTACAGTAAGTCCAAAGTAGCTGGACAATTGTCTATAAACCCCACACATATCATTATTTTCAAATACATGTGACTTGCTTTTTTTGAGTCATTAAGAAAGGCTGTCTATATGAAGAGGATTTTAGATGAGGACATGGAGGTTAATTAAACACGATCTGTAATAATCACAATTACATTTTCATAATAAAATTAACCTAAACAAAACAGAAAGGCATCAACTCAACTCAAATATTCAAACTGTTAAAAAGCATATTGGAGAACATGTTGTATTTATAGATATATTTATATAAATAGATATTTATCATTTGTACACTAATGTGTAATGATTACCTTCAGAACTCATATATAAGTAAGGTTTCATTTTTTAACAGGTTTAAGATGTTCCTTAACTCTTCCTTAATTTGGTCATCATTTCTAAATAAGAGCACACTGTTATCCAAGGTAACTTCATCAAGGATTCAACCAAATGGGTGAGAGGAAACAGGATTAGCTCAGCCTGGTATCATCCTGTTAGCCTGGATTAGTTAAGATACATTTGAAGGACAAGGGCAATACATCACCCAACCAACAACCCAGCTTCTATCAATGCACTTTTACTAAAAGGGTCAAACAAACTGCAGCAACAGATATGTTATTAAAAAGCTAATCCCTGAAGTAAACAGATCCACATAGCCTCTATTTGACCTCACCGTTGTCCCCTTTCAGTCTTTTGGAGATCTCACAGAAGATCCTGGTGTAGCACGTGATCATGATGACCAGAGGCAGCAGGAACAGGCAGGAGAAGGTGAACATGTTGTAGGCCGTTTCATGCCAGTGAGTGCCGAAACTCCCACGTGTGGTGCACTGAGTGAAGTCCTCTGGATGGACGATGGTCACGTTGTGAAAAAGGAACATCTGAGCAGGGAAAGGAACCACGATTAGAAAAGAATGGAGAAAACATACATGGCTACTACAAAAGATTCAGCAATAGCTTGCCATTCCCCATAAAGGCTGTCTCAGGACACGAAATGTATCAAGATGTGTGTTCCGGCTATAGTGCTATTTAGACTTGTAAATAGTTTGTATTTTATGTGAGATATTTGTTTCTAGGATCCAATTAGGATTGTCAGGCGTTTGTTGGCTTTACTCCCTTTACCTCAAAGGGAATAAACTGCTGGCCATGCTTCTTGTAATGATGGAAAAAGTTACCAAAATCACTATTAGATAACAAACCATTAAAGTATGCTATTGGTTATTCAATACCTGATACCGGAATAAATTGGTTGTTGGATTTTGGTCTCTATCTGAATAGTAAACAGATTAAATAACGGACAGATGGGCGTTTATGGTCACAGGACACGTATTCACTTCCTGGACACGGCTGTTTTCACATTTCTTTGTGCAAATAAAGAGCCCCTTAAGATTCTTACAATGCTCCTCTCGCCTGCTCAACCTCCCACATGGCATTACATGCATGTCCATGTTGACAAAAGACTGCAGTAGCTGGACCAGCAGAAGACAAGAAATTAAAACCCAAATAGAGATTTGCACCCTGCAGCTCCATTTACATTTTACATTTATTCTACACTTCATTTGCACAACTGAAGATGAACATTAGCTGGAAAATCCACGTGTGGATGTGCTTTTTAATTAATTAATTAAATGCACTTAAGGCAGCTACAGTCTGCAGATCTTTATTTATGATTTTCATGACAAAACATTTTGGCGAGGAACTCTTCCTGCTAATGGGTTAATTTTCCGTCCAGTTTTGCAATTTGAAAAATCTACACCTTTTTGTCTATGTTGATAGTGATAATAGTGTGTAAGTTGTCTACGTTGATAGTGATAATAGTGTGTAAGTTGTCTACGTTGATAGTGATAATAGTGTGTAAGTTGTCTAAGTTGATAGTAATAATAGTGTGTAAGTTGTCTATGTTGATAGTGATAATAGTGTGTGAGTTGTCTATGTTGATAGTGATAATAGTGTGTAAGTTGTCTACGTTGATAGTGATAATAGTGTGTAAGTTGTCTACGTTGATAGTGATAATAGTGTGTAAGTTGTCTAAGTTGATAGTAATAATAGTGTGTAAGTTGTCTATGTTGATAGTGATAATAGTGTGTAAGTTGTCTACGTTGACTGAAAACCGACCTGTTGCTCACGCACCTTGGCCATTAAGAAGGAGAAAATCAAAATGTAGCACTCAAAAGGTTTGCTCCTTTGAAGCTAATGCACCAGCACTTACACTGGCTTATTTGAAAGCAAATGTTCCTGCCTGTTTCCTGCTGTTTGTACCTACGTGGTTTATTGCACTTATTGTAAGTTGCTCTGGATAAAAGTGCCTGCTAAATGAAATCGGAAAAAACACACAATGTTGTCCAGTCAGAGACTCCTCACGAGTTTTAGAGACGTATTAAGCAAGTGCTGCTAGCTACTTTAATTGGGAAGGAGTTTAATTGGATGTTTTGGCTGAATCTTTTCAAATCTATCTTATTTTTCCTGGCTTCTCCAATGTTTCCTACCCAAGCTTTAATGAGAACATGTTTACAGCCTCTTTTAAAGAACAGTGCAGACCCCTGGCCTCAGCTGGCATTACCTGAGGGACAGAAAGCACGACACTCATGCCCCACGCCACCGTCAGCATGACTCTGTTCCTCTTCCCGGCTTTACTGATAGCCAGAGGGTTGAGGATGGCTGACTGCCTATCCAGACTGATCACCACGGTGACAAAGGCGCAGGAGTACATCGCCTGCAGCTTAAGAAACATCAGCAGCCTGCAGGCAAAGTCTCCAGCCAGCCACTGGACTGTGATGTTCCACACGGCATCCAGCGGCATCACGATGAAGGTTACCAGCAGATCAGCCACCGTCAGATTGATTATCAACACCCTGACGTGGGATTTGCGCTTCCCGTCGCTGTGCACTGCCCACAGCAAGGCCAGGTTGCAAAAGGCGGATATGCCACAGAGAATGCAGGTGATGACCACTCTGACTTTAGCTGCTGTTGTGAAGGTGGGCAGCTGCAAAGCATCGTCCCCCACTGTCCAGTTAGAAGAAGGCAGGGAGCCATTGCAGCTAGAGTTCAGTTGGTTGTCTGTTGTCAGATGAAACATGGTCGATACAGAGTCACACAGAGGGGCGTTCATTTTCTGAGGCGCACAGAGGAAGCCACATTCTGCTCATCAACCATGAAGATCAGTGCTGGTAACGAGAGTGAGGCGAAAAGAAAGAGGCAAACAACAAGATGTGTGAGTCATGGGCCTTGAAGTGGGCGAAGGTTATCCAAAGAAATCTGTGCTGCAAAAGAAAAACAAAAATTCAATGAATGAATAGTACATCTCATCAAGAGGAAGTAATATGCGTATATGGAAGTATCTGTTTGCCACATTGCAAATCAGTGAAGTAGAATCTAAATGATGAATACAGTCCATTTATCCAATATAAACGTCTTCACCACTCCTTGATTTCCCAGTGCATATTATCGTGCTAATCTGCTAATAGAATTTACAAATGGCTTGTGCTTTTCTGAATTACTTAGTCATCATAATAACATAGGAACAGAGAAGATACACACTTTGACAACACACACTTATGTCAATAATGCATTATAAATAAACGTATAGTGAGTTCAAATCTGCACAGAAATGTTATATTTATAGTTATAAGCACTCATTTATATTAGGAATGCTTATACAACAATCAAAACACATTTTATAATGATTTAAAGTATCATTTAACATAATGGTTGTCACTGACTGACATTATTTTTTCAAGGATCATAGTGTATTATAATTCTCATAGTTGTAACAAATTACCATCTATTTACAATGTATTATAATGAGATCATAAATTACTCTAGTCCGGTTGGGGGGTGTTTTAAGTAAAGTGAAAATAATTTCCAACGTGTAGATTTAAAGGAGACATGTCATGCTTTTCCGGTTATTACCCGTCCCCTTGTGTGTTATGAAGGTTTTTATGCATGTAAACGGTGTGCAGAGTCAAAAGCCTCAAAGTACACCCTGTAGCGAGTAAAACTCTAACACAGAAAATACCTCCCCAAAACGCCTCGTTGGAGATATGTCATTGTCCATTTGATTCTTCCGGGTACGGGGTGACGTAACCCGTACCCGGAACAAAATGGACCAATCCGTGGAGCCGTTACGTTACATCCGCGGAGCCGTTACGTTAAGCCCCCGCTGATTGGTCCAAATTGACCAATCCACGGACTTCCTCACACACACATCTGTGTGCAGGGAGCAGGCAGCTCTGCTGATTTATCCTCCCTGGCTGCAGGCTGATAACAGACAGTTGGGATCGCGGCGAAATTCTCTCTGCAGACCCATTCTCACAGCGTTTATCAACCTTTTTCTTACTCAATATCAAGCCACACTTATTGTTTTTACTTCGGCTGTGAGTTTGTGTGTACTCAGGATGAGTTTAGCTGTGTTTCGCTATGTATCCTAAACAAGGAAACAACACCTCCACGGAGCTCAGCGCGATTCACAACGTCCCGACCAACCAGAGCACACTGTGCTCACAGGGAGGGTGGGGGCTGGAGCTATTGGAGCTACAACGAGCCGTTAAAGGCAGAGAGTGAAATGCAGTGAATACATGTAGTTTACAGAGATGCTGTATGAGAAACCAATGTGAGTTTGGAAAATTGCACATTATAAATCTATTCTAGTAGACCTCAACAATGGAATTATGATCAGTGGAAATGGCCATGACATGTCTCCTTTAAAGCTTGCTGTTTTAACTTCAGTTAATGTTGAAATCAACAAGTTTAGAAAACTAAAACCATGGGGGCCATAGCTCTTTGTTGTCTGAGCCCAAACTAAACGTTCTTAAACTGCAACACGAAAATAATATGTGTTTGTCTCTGTTTGTTTTCCGAGTTTAAATGCAAATGAAAGTCAGTCCACCGGGCCTTGGTGTCCCGGTGCATTTAATAAATGCTTGGCAGCCTCCGTGTTATCAGTTATTATGACGGTGCCAACACCTGTACAGCCAAGAGCTGCGCCACTGACGTGCTGTGAATACTAAAACCACACCATGGACAAGTGGGTGGGAGATGTTTCGAATAAAACCCTTAAGGTCTTTTGAAGACTGTTCATTAATAAGAAAAAAAACACACAGTTATGTCAGGTTTGCTTTGATTGTGTACAACTACGTGACTCACATGTTTACTATTTTCTCCTGATGTGAAATTTGATGAAAGATGAGCTGAAATCATTTACAAGGAATGACATGTTGGATGACACATTGTGTAAGTATTGCCGATGTACACATATAACATCTGATAAGCAATGCACGGGCCATTTAAGCCCAATTACGCACACGGAGACGCACTTATCACTCATCCATCCTCTCTCTCTCTCTCTCTTTCTCTCTCTCTCTCTCTCTCTCTCTCTCTCTCTCTCCCCCTTTCTCTCTTCAACCCCTCTTAAGATCGAGTTAAAGATAAGCAAACATTAATACATTGTCGAAAACCAACATTTACTGTTCATAATTAATCCCAAATTATTATTTAAATAGGATTAATGCACTCAGATATTCGGATGTTACGCATCATTTATAACAGCAACATGAATTATCAAAGCCAATAATGAATATCCATGTTGCTTCATAAATGGCATTTTAGTGGATGTACACTAATTATTTTCACAGAGAAGAGTTACAGTTCTCAGTTCAATGAAATATGTTGGTGTCCGCAAAAAAAGTTAAGAAATATCTATTAAGTTCTAGAAGGTTACGCATTTTAAAGTCATGCTTTATTATTCCCATCGGTGACACTGAATGCACGTGTAGCCCCAGACCAAACATTAAAACATCATCTGCAGCAGCATCTGAATATTAACATGCGAAAAGACAAACTTACATTTATCTGCAGCGGAGAGAAATCTGTGAGCACATCTGGGACCCCAGCTACTCAAATCTCACAGCAGGACGGTAGACTCTTCGGTGTTGGTGCCCGTTTTTTTGGCTGCTGCTGTAAGTTTAGCAAGGCACCGGGTGGTCCACCGACTCCGCCTCTGCTGTCCAGCTCCTCTGCTCTCCGGTGCGCATTTCCAGCTGCTCCACCTTTATCCTCCAAGCATACCAATCAGAGCCGTGCAACCGGAACCGCGGGGAGGGGTCTGACCTCCGCTGCATAGCCTACATTGTAAAAACTTCCTAGAAATGATAAGAAATAGGCGCAATAAACTGTGATTGATGAAACTGAAAAACACAGATCACGTTTTTCAAATAAATGCCAGAAAGACATAAGTCATAAGAAATGCCCACTGTCCAAAGATATCAATCACAAAATCACAATTTAAAATGTGCATGTTGTGTGAAATTCTCCAATAGAGCCGTACATTGCACAAGACATGGTTCATGGGATGGGATGGGACCCAGCCTGCCTCTGCTGCTTGGAAAACAATATTCCCTTTGACCATGAGAAACATGTCAGCGAAAAACATATTTGGAGATTATAGAGAATATGGGTCCCTTTTATGTCACAAAAGTTATTAATCACATAACATCACATTTGAGCCAGAGATTAGTGCAGTACTTACTGTAGAAACCTGCGAAGTTGGTCATGGGGAAAGCAAGGTGAAACTTTTTACATGGTTGTCCTCATTAGGGGTTCAAGCTTCTCGTTTGAAGGCATGACTCTGAATGTATTTTCTGGAATAGTTTGGCATTTTTGGAAATAAGCTTAGGTCTGCTCCCTTCAGTTCTTCTATGAGTTTATAAAATAAGCGTTAGAACTTTCTTATCAATCCATCAATCAATGTTTATTTATATAGCCCAATATCACAAATGTTACATTTGTCTCAGTGGACTTCACAGTTTGTACAGAATATCAGTATGACAATACGACACCCTCTGTCCTTGGACCCTCACATCGTACAAGGAAAAACTTCCAAAGAAGGAAAAACCCCACAGTTTAAAGGGGGAAATGGGAGAAACCTCAGGGAGAGAATCAGAGGAGGGATCCCTCTCCCAGGACGGACAGACGTGCAATAGATGCCGTGTGTAAATTGAAAAGATAATACATTTACAATAGGTAGTCCAAATGTTTGGAAATGCATGTGTCTATAATAAGAAGATGAATCCACGAGGATGTCAACAATCCTGTGGGAGCCATGGGAAGTAGTATGATGAGAGTCAGGCAGGACCACAGTGACAGGTTCAGCCACGACTCGAAGTCCAGGACTCAAATCCAGAACTCAGGATGCAGGACTCAGGATCCAGGACCACAGCAACAGGCATAGCCACGACTCAGGATCCAGGGCTCGCGATCCAGGACTCAGGACCACAGCAACAGGATCAGCCACGACTCAGGATCCCGGCGTAGATAGACACCAAAAAGAAATTTGGGGGAAGCTGGGTTATTTGGAACATGAGAGTACACAGGTACAGACAGACAGAAGGAAGAAGTAAGGTGTCCCCCGACAGTCTAAGCCTTTAGCAGCAAAACTAGGGGCTGAATCTAATCAGCCCTAACTATAAGCTTTATCAAAAAGGAAGGTCTTAAGTGCACTCTTAAAAACGGATAGGCTGTCTGCCGCCCGAACACAAACTGGAAGCTGATTCCACAAATGTGGAGCTTGATAAGAAAAGGCTCTGGCTCTCATTGTACTTTTAGAGACTCTAGGAACAACCAACAACCCTCCATTCTTGGAACGCAATGCCCTAGTAGGACAGTAGGGTATAATGAGTTATTTAAGGTAAGATGGCGCCTGCCCATTAAGGGCTTTGTAGGCGAGAAGAATAATTTTAAATTTTGTCCTGTGTTCTATAGGGAGCCAGTGTAAGGCAGCCAAAACAGGAGTAATGTGGTCCCTTTGGGCCGAGTACAATAACCGTGTTTAACATTAAAAAAATGTAAGGTCATCCACGTTTTTTGTTTTTTTTAACAACTTTATTTTTCAGTTTTTCACAAATACAGTATGTCCAACATTTATGACAAAAAGTTGCAAACATATTATATACGTATTTGTTAACTAAACCGCGCACTGCATATCTCAATTTTTCCAAGTCTAACCCAAGCATCACTTCCCTGATCATTGAATATAGGAAGGGGGATTTTTTCCTTTCCAATTTAGCAGTATGAGACGGCGGGCATGCAACGACGCATGGCAACCGCATTTTTGTGGAG